TATATTTGAAAAGAGAATGAATGTGGGACTCACCGAAAGCAGCCTTTTCCCCATGTTTCCCTGTCTTGAGCTCATCTTATAACATTCAGACACCCCCTCACCCCAGGTATAAAATAACCCCACCTTTGAAAACCAGACCCAATGAATAGAGAGAAGCTAAGCCCCATACCTGAGGCCACTCAACAAGAAAGTGGCAGTGGTGGGATTTGAACTCTGAACCATCCTATCCAACGCACTGCTGATGACAGCAGAGAGCAAGTCTCCTAGTGCCATCCTAACCTGTTTAGGGAGCCATCACCCAGCATGTGTCTCAAAAGCCCCACCAGTTTTACTTCCTCCTTGTTTGTGGGCTGCGGTGTTATACCCCAACATAGGCAGGAGCACTGGCCAAGGGAAGTGGGAGATACTCTGTGGCTGGAAGGAGGTGCACTTCCTGGCCAAGGTGTACCCCACATCTCCAAGGAAGCAGAAGGGGAGGATCAGCTGGGTTGGTTGTGCTGGAGACTGATGAGGGTCCTGAGGTCTTGGGAATATGGGCACCAAGGTGATTTGGGCTAAGGAGGAATGCCATCCCCTAATCTGCCCACTTCACTGTACCCTGTCATGAGGCCCCTAGGATCTGATGGGAGGGGATCAGCTTCCTGTTGTAGCTGAAGTCACAAGTCTCTAGAGGCTTAGATGAGAGGAAAGGGGCATTCCATATAGGATCTGAGAGCCTTGTTACAATGTAATTTCCATATAAATTATGAGCATTTGTGTTGGTGAGATGGGTCAGTGGGTAAAGGTACTTGCTGGCAAGCCTAATGGCTTGTGTTCAATCCCTAGAACCGACATAATGAGCGGAAAGAACCAACTCCCACAGTGTTGTCCTCTGACCTCCACATGCCCAGAGAGGAACACACACACACACACACACACACACACACACACACACACACATCTAAAGTGAAATGAAATTTTAAAAAAAATTTTATTATTTTTAATTATTTTTATTTTATATGTATGAGTGTATTGCCTGCATATATGTGAGTGTACCTGTGTCATGCAATGCCGTGGAGGTCAGAAGAGGGCTTTAGATTCCTCTGGAACTGGACTTAAGGATGGTTCGTAGCCGCCATGTGGGTGCTGGGAATTGAACCTGGATCCTCTGCAAGAACAGTCAGTGTTCTTAACCACTGAGCCATCTCTCCAGCCCCTAAAGTGAAATAAAAAATTTTAAAAAAGAAGCTGGGCGTGGCAGCTCACACCTTTAATTCCAGCACTCAGGAGACAGAGGCAGGTAGATCTCTGTGAGTTCAAGGCCAACCTGGTCTACATAGTGAGTTCCAAGTCAGCAGGGGCTGTAGGGAGACCCTGTCCCCCCCAAATATTTTAAAGAAGTTATGGAGCTGGAGCGATGGCTCTGTGGTTAAGAACACTTGCTGTTCTTCCAGAGGACCCAGGTTTGGTTCCCAGCACCAATGTGGCAGATAACAACCATCCATAACTCCAGTTCCAGGGGATCCAATGCCCTCTTCTGGCCTCTGCATCACTGCAGTGCATGTGATGCACTTAAATACATGCAGGCAAAACTCATATAAAATAGAAATAGTGAAAAATATTTTAAAAGAAATTATGAGCAGAGGCCCCTAGGATCTGATGGGAGCCAGGTGTGCTGACACATGCCTTTATATGCACTCAGGAGGCAGAGGTAGGTAGATCTCTGAGTTCCCAGCTAGCCCGGGCTACATAGTGAGGTCCTATCTGGAAAAAAATTTTTGTTTATGTGTATGTGGGCTATAAAGGGACATCAGATCTCCTGGAGTGAGAGTTACAGGCAGTTGTGAGTTGCCCAACATGGGTGCTGGGATCCAAACTTAGGTCCTCTACAAGAGGTGGTGGCGGCAGGGGAGGGGGAGACGAGGTCTCTAACTCAGGCTGGCCTCAAACTCACTATGTAGCTAAGGGTGACCTTGAACTTCTAATCCTCAAGCCTCTACCTCCCAAGTACTAGAATTACAGGAGTGTGCCACCAAGCCCAGCTCTAGATCCTAAATTGAATTATTGCATCTGGGTTTTCCAAATAAGGTCACATATACAAGTTTCATGTCAACATGCCCTCTTTGAGATCACTTTTCATAACCTAAGGTCACATTCTTACTCTGCTGGGAAGGCACTTGCAATCCTGTTTTACTTCTGACAGTGCAGGGCCTGGCCTCAGGACTCAGCTCCCTCCTCGGACACTCCACTCTGTCCTGCTCTTCTTCCCATTCACCCCAAGCAAACTCCTGCCACAGGGCCTTTGAACTGGTGCTTCTCCAAAGGTCCTATAGTTTCTCCCCATCCTCAATATCTCTTCCTTGAGCCCTTGCCTGACTGATTTTATTTATTTTATTTATTTATTTATTTATTTATTTATTTATTTATTTATAGACAGGATCTAGCTATGTAGCCCTGGCTGTCCTGGAACTCTCTATGTAGACCAGGCTGGCCTCAAACCCAGAGAGATCTGTCTGCTTATGTCTTCTAAGCACTGAGATTAAAGGCATGGGTTGGCACACCTGGCTTACCAGACCTGTTTTACAGATAGAGAAACTGAGGCACAGAGGCAGTATCACTTCCCCAAGGTCAGTCACACAGTCTAAAGTTGGGTATCTGTCGTCAGCACCTACTCTGAAATACCTTACCAACTGAATCCCATCCAAAACATCTGGTACTTTTTTTTTTTTTTTATCTTTTTGAGACAGGGTCTTTGGTAGCTAGGCTACCCTGGAACTTATACCCTTGAACTCCTGCTGTCACCTCCCAAGTGCTGGGATTACAGACATGTGCTGCCATTCCCAGCTTCCAGTTTCATCTTCAAATAAAACATTTTTCACCAAAGCCTTCAGAAATGCTGAAAGTCAAAACACACTCCCCACCCCCAACCCTCTAGTCCACCCACCCCAAGGCTGTTATCTGCTTCAGATGAGTTCTCAGCTTTAGGTAACTGGGCACTTACTTGCTCTTGCTTGCTAGATCCTTGGGTTTTTGTGTGTTTTTCCTTTTCTGAGACAGGCTCTCACTCTGCAGCCCAGACTGGCTTGAACCTCTTATAGACCCTCCTGCCTCAACCTCACTTGTTTTACACGAAGTGGGTCCTGGTGGCTTATGGCTATCATCCCAGCATTTAGGAGACTGAGAGACAGGAAGATTGCCAAAAGTTCAAGGCCAGCCTGGGTTGCACAGTGACTTACAGACCAACATGGTTCACAGTGTATGAGACCCTGTGGCAAAGCGTCACCAGCTCCCCAAATTAATCACAACAGGAAGGGAGGCAGGGGGTGCAGCCCAATGGTAGAGTGTTTGCCTGGTATGTACAAAGCCCCGAGTTTGAACCTCAGCAAGACACACAGACCAAGAGACCCATCCCCATCTTTCAAGACAACCACCTCACATGCTCAATAGTATTCACACATTTGTTGACTTCCTCTGTGTGTTGGGGGTGGTTAAGGGGAGAGAAGTGAGGAGTCACCTGTTTTTGCTGTAGTTTTAAATCATACATGGGTCTGCCTAGGCAGTATGAAACCCTGTCTCAAACACCCTAAATAAATAAGAATTAAAAAATTTTAAATCCCCCCTCAATAAAAAAGGGGCCAGACCTCACGGCCTATGCCTTTAATCCTCGCACTCAGGAGGCAGATGGGAATGAATCTCTGTGTTTACCGGCCAACCTGATCTATACTTAGCAAGTTCAGGCCAGCCAGGACTACATAGTGAGATCCTGTGTTATATATATGTACTGTTTGAGAGATAGATTTGTGGAAGCTTGGCTCTCAGAATTTTTTTTTTTTTATTTTGATATCCGTAAAAATATCCACTGGCTTGAAAGAAATACTGTTGTTCAGACCCCAGCAACTCCGTCGTCTCCAGCCCCATCCCCCACCCTTCTCCTTCCATCCCTTGACGTGGGCTCCCTTATGCTGAGCTTGCCGCGCTGTCGGTTGCATTATTCAACCTTGATCTCCCCATTTTATTTTATGAGCGTCTCATGATTAATTTTATGTATGTATTTCTTCTCGACTAGGCAACGCGTGCCCATGGAACACATTCACAAGGCTAATAGATCAGAAAAGGGGTGGGGGTTCCTTTTTCTCTGTGGCTGAGCCCATCTCCCCCACCCCCCTCCCCGCAGCCGTGTGCTTCCCCCAGGCGGAGAGCATGCTGCCTAGGGCCCCCCTAGCCTCTGCGGCGAGGAAGGGGGGAGGCAAGGCACGCACTGCGCAGACTCCCGGCTGCAGTGGGCGAGCCCTGAGGAGGGCCCGCCCCCTCCCTCCTCCAGCCCTTGCTCGGCTTGTTAGGGGGGGGAGGCAAGGCACGCACTGCGCAGACTCCCCGCTGCAGTGGGCGAGTCCTGAGGAGGGCCCGCCCCCTCCCTCCTCCAGCCCTTGCTCGGCTTGTTAGGGCAGGAGCTGGGCTGGCGGAGGTAACCGCGGGCGGCAGCGAAGTAAGGCTGGGGTCCCTTGTGGGGAGGGGGCTCGGAGCTGGGCTGCAGGGGGACCTGGAGGCCGCGATGGTCCTGGGCTGCGAGCCTTAGGGATCTAGTCTCGAGGGTACTTGGGGGTGGACGCGCCACCTGGAGCATGCTCCCGAGTCCCCCCTAGAATGAGAACAGGGCGCAGAGACTCGGGGCTCCTCTGACTCTCATCTAGGGCTGGTCTAGATTAGAGCTCAGGAGAGGATAAAGAGGGGGTACTGATGGGGAGCAACGTGGGTACTAAATGACAAGTAATTGCTTTGAAAGAGGGGTAGAGTGATGCAGAGCCTCGAAAAAGCTGAGGCATTAGATCTTGAGGGATTTCGACATCCCTGCTGACCAGCCATCAGCTTCCTCTTTTTGGGTGGTGGGAATGGGGCCAAGCGCCCCCGTGATCATGGGCAATGAGGTTTTAGTGGCTCTCATAAGCCTAAAACAGAGCCACTTCCTGCGATGCCCCTCAAAAGCCAAGAACCCCATACAGTGCCTGCTTTTGTTCCCCCAGTTTCCAGACCCTGACACACCCACCTTCCTTCCCGCCTCGGTTCTGAGCATCCCCCAGCTGCCAGGCAAGATGAAACCTAAACTGATGTACCAGGAGGTAGGTGGATGGGGGACCAAATGAGGAGGGGCTGGGTGCACCGAAGGGAAGGGGATCCACCAAACTGCCCTGTTGCCTCCCCTGCCTCATCATCCCCACCCCCACCCCCACCCCCGTCCCTCAGCTGAAGGTCCCTGTTGAGGAGCCTGCAGGAGAACTGCCCATGAATGAAATTGAGGCTTGGAAAGCAGCAGAGAAGGTAGGAGTGAGCTTCTCCCCTTGATCTTCCTCAGACTCTTGCCCACCTTGCATAGTCTGACAGCCTCCTCTCTCCCTATAGAAAGCCCGCTGGGTCCTTCTAGTCCTTATCCTGGCAGTGGTGGGTTTTGGTGCCCTGATGACTCAGCTGTTTCTATGGGAATACGGAGACTTGCATCTCTTTGGACCCAACCAGCGCCCAGCCCCCTGCTATGACCCCTGCGAGTAAGTGGGAAGGGAACCTGGGTGGTGGGAGAGGGGCCCTGCTAGCCCAGGGACACTTAAGCATGCACAGAGCAGGGCCCGTGCTTAGCCGCACCCAGTGACGTGATGAGGGGGTTGTGGATACCCAAGTTCATGCCTACTCTCCTCCCCGCACTTGCTGTTTCCATGGCAGCCACAGCGTCATCATCCTTTATGCAGGTATGTGAACAAATAGACACAGTATCTCCCATCCACATCTGTGGCAACACACATACCCCTTCCTCCCACACCTCTAGACGGACCGGTGAGACAAACCCTATGGGCCAACAGAGCCTTCCTGTCCCAGCATGCCATTTCTGGCCCTCTGTGGCTGACAGATGTCCCCTATACCCCCCAGAGCAGTGCTGGTGGAGAGCATTCCTGAAGGTCTGGAGTTCCCCAATGCTACCGCGAGCAACCCCTCCACTAGCCAGGCCTGGCTGGGCCTGCTCGCTGGTGCTCGAAGCAGCCTGGACATTGCCTCCTTCTACTGGACCCTCACCAACAATGACACCCACACACAGGAGCCCTCTGCTCAGCAGGTACCTGGCAGCCTGGCCACTGGCTGGGGGTGGGGGTGTGGTGATATGGAGTGGAGGAGTTTCCCCCTGCAGCCCTGGAGACAGGTGGGTGTGTCTCCCATGGTGGACCGACACAGGTGTTTGGGAGCAGCTGTCTTCACACAGCCTTGTGAACTCAGAGAGCAGTTTTGTTTTGTTTTTTGTCAAGATCATCTGGAGGCCTCTCTGAATGTCAGGGAGCAGGTTTGGTTACGAGGGATTAGGCTGGCAGTTTGTTACCATGAGCCCTTAACACAAATAGAAGAGAAGAACAAGTTACAGCCCAGCCGAACCAGGCTCCCACCTCTCCAACTGTGTGACCGTAGGCAGGTTACCTTCCCTTTCAGGCTTCAACCACCTTATCTGTAACAGGCAGATAACATACAGAACCTGTTTGTTATTCAGGGCTCAGGTAAGGATGGAGTGGGTTCATCTGTACAAATTTAGCTCAGTGCCTGCATGGAATAAGCCCTTTCTAAGTGTTTGCTTGCTAAGATATATTTTTAAGGGGCTGGAGAGATGGCTCAACAGTTAAGAACACTGACTTTCAGAAGACCCGGGTTCGAATCCCAGCACCCACATGGCAGCTAACAACTGTCCGTGACTCCACTTCAGGGGATCTGACAGCCTCTTTTGTCCTCCGCTGGCATTGCAGGACATGGGTGCACATACCTACATGCAGGCAATACGTACATACACATAAGATAAAAATAATAAAATTTTAAAAAACACCCATAAATTTTAAAAAGTGGGGCTGGAGAGATGGTTCAGTGGTTTAAGAACACTGATTGCTCTTGCAGAGGACCGGGGTTAGACTGAATTACATAGCAAGGCCTGTTCACAAACAACATAGACACACACACACACACACACACACACAGAAGCAAGCCATACAAGCTCCCAGGCACTCATCAAAGCACAGATGCCAGCCATGTCTTGTGGTACAGAACTATAATACCAGCTACTCAGATGCAGAAGCAGGAGAATCTCAAGTTCAAGACCTGCCGCTGCTTTATATATATCACGTTCGTGGTCAGCCTGGGCAACTTAAGGAGACTCTCTTAAACTAAAATGAAAAAAGGGGTTTGTTATATGGCTTAGCAGGTAAAAGCACTTGCCATACAAGCCTCATGACACAAACTGAGTTCAGTCTCTGAAACCCACTACGGAAGGAGAGAACTGACTCCTGAAGATTGTTCTCTGACCTCCAAATGTGTGCCTCACTCACACACGCTGTACATATGCATACACAATGATAATAATATTTTTAAAAGGCGGAGGGGTGGCTGAGGATATAGCCCTGATATAAAGCCTATTCCTATTTATCTTATTAATTTTTTTAGATAGGGTCTCCCTGTAGCCCCAGCTGGCCTGGAACTTACTATGTAGACCAGGCTGGTCTTGAACTCACAGAGATCCCCTCACTTCTGCCTCCTGAGTGCTGGGACTAAAGGCATGTGCCCAGCTAGCCTATTCATTCTTTTTTTAAAATATTTTATTTATTATTTTTATTTTATGTATACGAATGTTTTGCCTGCATGTATGTGAGCGCACCCGTGTCATGCACTGCCACGGAGGTCAGAAGAGGGCTTCGGATTCCCCTGGAACTGGAGTTAAGTATGGTTCGTAGCCACCATGTGGGTGTTGGGAATCGAACCCGGGTTCTCTGCAAGAGCAGTCAGTGCTTTTAACTGCTGAGCCATCTCTCGAGCCCCCCTGCCTATTCATTCTTAATCACATCTCAAAAGATCCACAGATGAATGCCTGTGGGGGAGGTGTTGGAGCACTGGCTGGTCTAGCCCCTCAGCAACTGTCCCCCTCAGGGTGAAGAGGTCCTCCGACAGCTCCAGGCCCTGGCACCTCGAGGCGTGAAGGTTCGAGTTGCTGTGAGCAAGCCCAACGGACCCCTGGCAGATCTGCAGGCTCTGCTGCAGAGTGGTGAGCTGCGGACAGCTCAGTGGGGGTAGCGGGCCTGGAGCTACCCAGGCTGGCCCCTGACTGCTGCCCCTGTTGGTCACAGGTGCCCAGGTCCGTATGGTGGATATGCAGAAGCTGACTCATGGTGTCCTGCACACCAAGTTCTGGGTGGTGGACCAGACCCACTTCTACCTAGGCAGTGCCAACATGGACTGGCGCTCCCTGACCCAGGTTTGCCTGTACCCTGCCCACCTTCCTTGCCCGGCCACTTCTGGCACCTTCCTTGCCAGGCCTCTTTCCTGGCCTCCCTATATACCCAGAAGTTTAGCCCTTAGCTGCCTTCCCTGTGCTACAGTCTAGGGTTCCCTCCAAGCCTCAATGGCCGCTGCCAGGACACAGAACACTCACTGCCTTGTTCACTTACTTGGCCTTCATTGTACACTTCCTGTGTATGTATTGGAAGCCCAGCTCTGACCTGGGGGATTCTGGGAATATGAGGATAGCAGGTGGGTTTCCTGAACTTGGAGTTCAGTGTGGAGCCTGGCCTGTCACTAGACAGTGACAATACAGAGAACTCAGGACAGGATGGGGAAGAAACAGGTAGAGGGTTGGGGTGAGATGGGGGTACAAGGAGGATGGTCCAGGATAGGATGGCAAAGCACAGGCAGAGGATCTGCGATGAGATGAAGAGGTACAAGCAGAGGATCCAAGGGGGATGGGGGTGCAGGCAGAGGCTCCGAGGGGGTGGGGGTGCAGGCAGAGGCTCCGAGGGGGTGGGGGTGCAGGCAGAGGATCC